TGCCATTACTCTTGGTTACCTTGAAGAACTTAAAGTTAGAGCCCTATTGCTGAAGGACATCATACCCTTCTGACATGGGAATTGGATAAGGAGCTAGAACTAACCTGGATGGAAGCACCCACCTTATGGACCAGCTTTCATAGCACCTTAGGGCGTTATGGAAGCTGCTAAGGTGAAAAGATAATCAGTATTCCTACCCAGCTGTTATGCCTGTGAACCACAACAATGACCAGCATGGTAAAATATCCCCAATGCTGAAACAGTGGCACTTACACCATAGGGGCAACCAACTCAACCGTAATCTAATTAGACTTAACATCTACTTAACAAAAGCAAATTCATGCCTGATAATGTAAACCTAGCCAACTACACATAACTGGTTAGGTGATACTTCCTGGAGGAAAACTTATTAATGCCACTTTCCTAAATCAGTATAATCTCTAACTCCATTCTATATGTTCTTCCTTATATTCACAGATAAATATAGTTCTCACCTCTTATCAAAGAAGATTCTTTTTGCAGAATATGGAGGCAATTACAGAAATCTGCAACTGTACAAAATTCAAATAACTACTATCCATGGAATAACTAACTCCATTTGATATATCTACAACACAATCCCTGCACCTAAGGCTCTGGGACCATCATAGAAGACGGTACAGAAAGACTGTAAAAGTCAGAGTACCAGGAAGTCCTCTTTTTACTCTACATATTGCTGCAAGTGGCATCAATGAAATCTCAACAGAATGGGTGCTTAAACAAGACCTGTAAAATGACAACACCAGTTTACATGCTGACATGGATAGGAGAAATTCAGTGGGTCTGAATGCTTAGATGCAGAGCTACAGGCAATTAATGGATGTAATTTAAGAACAGGAAAAGGATATTCTATAGGAACAGCACCTCTTATAGTTTATCCAATCCTGAGTGGTCAGTGCTAAATACACACATATGAATGATGCTAAATTAACTACTCAGTAGGCAATATATATATATATATACATGTACATGTCAATAATAATAAGAAAGGTCATGAATTTGAGAGATAATGGGGCAGTTGGAGGAGATAATAAGGGATAAACATGGTATAAAAACAGTACTCATGTGAAATTCTCAAAGAAAGGAAAAATACATTGTATAATGTATAAAATTGTGAAATAATTAAAGGTTTAATTTTAATCAGTTTTAATTTAATTAATTTTAAGTTTTAACAATCAATTAATATCTTAAAATGTTTCTTGTGACTAATAACAATCAACTTTTACATGGCAAAAAGAGAAAACAAGAATGTAAATATGCATGCTACTGCATCTTGTCACTCCTCCAATCTTACATTTTAGAACTGTTATTTGATATATCTAATATTTATACAATTTTGTTCTGACTGAGATGTTTTGGGTTGAATCAATAGAAAAAATCTGCGCTCAAAAAAAAGATATACTATCAAACATGACAAAATGTTTAAGTCCTGTAAATTTATAAACGATTAGGAATGACCACAAGCTAAGATCTTGAACTGCAGACATCCATAGGAACTACACCAAAGCAGGAGCAATGACATCTAAGAACAGCAGTGACAGCTGTGCAGATATCACCTCCATGAGGACCAGGAGCAGCAGCTACCTGCACCCCATAGTGGCTGTGCATTTATCTATTACATGATACTTTGATAACATAGGTGGCATCGTGATTCATAGAATTCAGAATCCTCACACTCTGTATGAATCAAGTCCCTCAGGAGAAGATGGAAATGGCAATGTCACTGTGATGTAGCTGCCATGGAGACTTCATGATTCTTGATGTTAAATTCTGGTCATGCCATCTACCCAGCAATCAATAACATATTTTTCTGTTCAAATCAATGAGTTTTGCACACTTGTAATGAAGAGTTAATTAACTTGTAGAGTTAATTGTTCTATTTAAATATTGTGTTCCAATAAGTAGTTAAAATTGATTTTTTATATTAAAGCCAGTATCAGTCAATTGTTTAAATGAAACTGCCTTGTCCACACAAAGCATGGATAAAGGAAGAAGGGAGAAAAAAGAAAAACTAATTATTAAGAAATGTAAACTATCCCAGTTAAGCAACCTACATTTAAAATAATATAGCAAGTTCCATCCTACCACTGCTCCATAGGGTACATTATGTAAAATAATGGGTGACTCAAAAAAAAGTGGCACAAATGTTTTACCACAAAAAGAATGTATTATGTATATAATTTGTGGGTGTCAAATGAAAATATAATACCCAAGTCATTAAATCAAATGCCCATATAAGTATGTTTGCTATGTAGAGAATTTACAAATGAAAGAAAAAAACTATATGTTATGTTATATTAAAAAGAAGAACAAATGCCTGACCAGCAATTACAAGAATTCAACTGCATAAGACAAAAAAGAGTGGTTGATGACCTGGTTTATGGTACCTGGCATGAAATAATGTGGATCAGGATCCAATCAGAAAGTGATTGGTTACTGCCTGACTTTGCTTTTCTGTTGCTGTGATAAAACATCGACCAAAAGTAATTTAGGATTGGGTAGTTTTATTCAGCTAACTGCCTGTAGCCTATATCAAGACAAGCCAAAGCAGGAACTTAAGCCAACAGTCTGAATAAGAAAACATGGAGGAATACTGTTTACAGACTTGCTTCCTCTGGCTTGCTCAGCCCTATCTAAAAGCCAAGTCCACCTGCTTAAGGATGGTATCACCCATAGTGGGCTGAGCCTCCCTATATCTCTAGAAATCAAAACTATGTCCCAGTGACTGGCCTACAAGCTGGCTTGATGGAGACCATTCCTCAACAGAGATTCCCTCTCCCACAGTGACTCTAGTTTGTGTCAATTTGCAAAGTCTAAACCCCTAAAACTACCGTGCCACTGCTGCACAGTGGACACATCTCTTCAGGCAGGTGGGTATTGATAGATGAAATTAATACATTGGTAAATGTACACAATTTTCAAAAATAAGTAAAAGATATTATTTTTAAACTATTGAATACTAGGGGAAGAAGAAAAGCAAATGCCCATGCATTAGTAATCAAGAGTATTTAAAAATAACCAGAAAATACATTAAAGTAGTTCAATAAAAACTATTTTATATTTTTGGTTGTGAGCCTAGCCTTCAACAGCTGAGCTATCCCTCCAGGGTAAGAATAGAGGAGAAAGGGATGGGAGATACCATAAAAGAAGGAGACATTATAAGTTGGAAGAGAGATCTGGCACTAGTGAGATCTTCACAGATCTACAAGAATGACACCAGCTGGCATTATGGCTACTTTAAATGCCTTCCCGTGATGGTGAGAATGATGACTGCCTTATATGCCATCCTAGAACTCTCATCCAGTGGCTGATGGAGAAGGAGGCAGACACCCACAGCTGTGTACCCAATTGAACTCCTGGAACCCACTTGTAAAGAAGAGTGATGACCAAGGGAATCGGGATCGGGATGGCGAGGACCACAGGCGCAGCTGACCTAAACAAGGGGCATCACATGGACTCCAGACTGATGATTGGGAGACAAGCATGGGACTGATCCAGACATCCTCCCACAGAACCTGGATGACAGAGTGGAGGCCTTGGAAATCTGGAGAGTGGAGCAGTATTTATTCCTAGCATACAGAGAGATCTGGGAGCCCATGCCATGTGGAGGGATGCTCTCTCAGCCTGGACATATGGGGAAGAACCTGGGCCTTTCCTGGGCCTTTCCTGGGATGATGTGATGGACTCTGGAAATCCCTCATGGAGGCACTAGCCCTCCCTGGGGTGTGGAGGGGGGATGGAGTGGGGGTGAGGGGTTGAGAGGCTTGGGAGGTATGGAAGGAGGGGAGGGAGAAGGAACTGAAATGATATGCGTAAAAAGTTAAATAAAAAATATGGAAAAACTATTTTAAACTAAACAAATTGTGCTCTGAAAATTAACATTCAGTTCCCATGATGACCTGCATAGACAAAAATCCTTGTCATGTCTGATACTGATTTAATTCAGCATAAAGATTTTTAACTTTTCTTAACAAATATTCAAACCCTAAACTTGACCTTATACCTACCCTGCTTCCTCATTTAACTTCAAAGACATGAGACTTCGTGGCAAGTTCAGCACTAACTTAGAACTAACCCATGGGATAAAATGCTCTACACCCATTTGAAGAAAAGTTTTCACAGAATAATCGTTGGTGAGGCGTATGAATCGGGCCATATCACGTGATGTACACAGACTCAGACTCGGAGCCTTAGCGTTCGGTAAAGAAGGAAAACAGTGAAGCGATAAACCAAAACCATCTCTGTCTGACCGAGAAAGCTTCATTTCACTTTCTATCTTGTACTTGTTCCCAAACTGGTTTGTGTATACGTGGGAAATTTTGTTCTATTCTTTTTTCCTAGAACTGTTTTTATTGGGCATATTTAAGATCTATAACATGATACTTTGGTGTTCTGTGATACATATGCACATAGTCTTGCAAGGTTCAGCAAGTTAACACTATCACAAAACTATCTTCTGTTTTCATGTGCATTAGAGTGCTTAAGAATCTAGTCTCATGCAAACAATTATATAACACATTTATATTATATATCTTTTAGTTACAGTCAGCATATATTTCTTAAGTGATAAACTTCAGATATATGATAACGAATATGTTTCATGCTTGTATTTCTGCTTACACATAGTATATATGAATTTTCATTAATTTTGAGTTATACAGAAATTAACTGAAATAAGAAATTAATTTCTAAACTTTAGAAAAATATTTTTCTTGGTAATGGAAACCCTTTCCTAAAACATTCTCCTAAATTAAAACAATTGTGAAAATATTTAGTGGCTGTGGCCACTTGTCTGATTTCTGAAAGTATGAGTTTTATAAACTAGTATAGCTTACTTTTCCTGCAAAAAATGACATAGGAATGAATCTTTTAAAATGAGAAGGCATTGCAAATGTGTATAACAGTAAAAATAAGCTACTTATTAATTCATACAAGTTATAGAGAAGTAGAAAGATAAATACCTGGTAACTTAAACACACTCCAGAAGTAAAAAACCTTGTAAGAAAAAATTCACAGTTAGCACTAGGGAAATTACCCATTATATTTTGTGTATGTTTAAATATTAAATGAGATATCTAAATGAAAATGTATATTTAGTACACTGTGATACAAAGGAAATACATAGAAAACTAAATCATAGCATTCTTATTCATATTATTTCAAGATATTTTACTCATTTTGCTTATTGATGTTTTTATTTCTCACCTACTTAGTTTGCAAACATTTTGGAAAAGTTTATTCAGTTATTTACTGAGTGTGTATATTTAGAGCCTTCATATATTTACATGATAATTACACTGTTGCTGTTTTTCTATTTTGTTGTTGTTGTTGTTATTGTTTTGTTTGCTGTTGCATTGTTTTGTTTTTTCCTTTTGCTTTGCTGTGTTGGGTTTTGTTGGAGACAGGTCTTTCTATGTAGTCCTAACTGTTCCGAAACTTGCTGTGTAGACCTGACTGACCTCAAATTCAGAGAGATCCACCTGCCTTTGAACACATGTGCTGTGCTTAAAAGTATGTGCTATCATGCTCAACTACTCTTTTTCTTAAAACCGGTCCCTTAATAGCTGCTTCACTTTTAAATATTTTTATAACTTTATATTCTAAGAATTTCAAGTTAATTTTCTTTTCTGTTCTTGGCATAAGCTCATGCTATAACTCATGAAGAATTTCTATGTCTTCTTCATATAATCAAGTGGTGTTTTCTAACTCTACTCTGAAAGTCCAATTATTATCTACTATCCAAAGTGAGATCAGTTCTAGCCTTTGTCCAACAGGTGCAGAGATAGATGGGGTTAAGTTGGATAGCTTCATTGTTGTTATTGTCTGCTTCATGGATTGCTTATAATTAAATTCATGATTTTATAAGTCTATTCTATGTTTAAAAGTTTAACAACATTAACTTTTGTTGGCCAAAGTTTGCATTTTGAAAGGAACCTACATCAGATAGCAGTCACAGAGAGATCTACAAGTCTGCATTGAATGAGGGGAAAAAGAAAAGTTAGGTGATTAACTACAACATAAATCCTTAGCAATTTTTGCTATTAAAATTTGCAAGAAAATATATGCACACCTTCTGAAGAATTTATTCCTAGGATAGTTTCTGCTAGAAATTGTCCTTATGAATAAGCTCACAACACAGCGAAGAGCAGTTCCAGATGGCTTCTGGGAGTTGTGTCTTGTTAGTGGCGTATGATTTCTTGATAATAGGAGACAAGAGCTGTCTTTCTGAAAAATACAAATCATTTTTATTGGAAATATGAAATGAAGTCATGCAAACCGAAGGGAATTTTTACAGCAGGTCCACCATTGCTGCAAGTGGAAGGCAAAACTGCGCTGTAAGTTTATATCACTTGACATAATGAGATCCTAAATGCACAAGCATCCCCTACTTGAAAATGAAACACAAGGGCACACTAAATGACTGTAATCACAAAAGATATTTTCCTCAGTGATAAAAACATGAGTTATGGAAAAGTACAGTTTGCATAGTTTGATACAAAGGCTATGGTGCAAATCTAGGGGATCTAATGATATGAACTGAAGTAAAATGAGTTACAAGACTGTCTTTTTGAAACCTGAGAAAATGGAAGAAGCGCAATAAAGGCCCTAAATCTGTCTTGTACAAATGTGTACCATGTGTGTTCTCTATAAACATCTGTCTCAGTGGTTAAATTTGGGATTTAATTTATTTAATTTAAAATACATTAACCTATATGAGATATTTTGAATATTTTTCTCCTTTATCCAATTGCAGCTATGTAAGTTAGATCTAATGTAAATTAACGAAACATAACTGAAACTGGGCATCCATACTGTATTGTTTCTTATTTCTTTCTCTGTCACAATATAAGAAATATAATTCTCAAAATTATAGTGGTTAATCTGGGCCCTAATCACAATTTAAATATTGATCTGGATTCTCCAGATTTCCTTCCCTCTCTTTCCTTCCCTCTCTTTCCTCCTCTCCTCTCTCTCTCTCTATAGATAGATAGATAGATAGATAGATAGATAGATAGATAGATATAGATATAGATATAAATATAGATATGGATATCTTCCTTATAACTGAGTCTATAACTAAGTGTTTTTATGCTATGGAGTTAAATTAAAATATAGCTTAATTCTGCAATCAGAAAACATGTAAGATGTTTAAAAACCTCATTGCAAAAGGCTCTCAGGAAATTCTTGGTGCTTAAGTGCAAGGGTAACATTTGTTACATGAAAATTATATCTCATTAGTCATATTTTCCATTAGCTTTATTTAAGCTAATTGAGAAGACAGGATCATTGGAAATACCTAATATGGAATAAACTTAAACATCAGTCACTGGCAAGAAAAATTTGTCATTAAGTCGTTATTGACTAGTGATAGTCAGATGCAAGAAAAGTGGCAGTCTGTTACAGTAAGCTTTTAGCATCTAACAACTGTGATTTGGGAAATGGGTAAGGCCACACAATTAGACGCAGAAAGACATGCCTTCATGACAATGGTAATATCTTATTCAGGCGCTTCGCCTACCAAAGATAGATAGATAGATGGATAGATAGATAAATAGATTGCTCTAGAACAGACAGGTTATTTTAATTCCTCCTTAAATTTTGGTACCATTTAGGAGATATTGAAAAACACAAATATCTAATTTTCTCTCTGGTTAAAAACTAAAAAAAGAGAATTTTAGACCAATTTCCCTCATGAACATTGATGTAAAAATAATCAATAAAATACTGGCATATCGGATTCAAGAGCACATCAGAAAACACATCCACCATGATCAAGTAGGCTTTATTCCAGGGATGCAGGGATGGTTCAACATATGAAAACCAATCAATGTAATCCACCATATAAACAAGCTGAGAAACAAAAATCACATGATCATCTCACTAGATGCTGAAAAAGCCTGTGACAAAATCCAATACCCATTCATGATAAAGGTTTTGGAGAGATCTGGGGTAAGAGGAACTTACCGAATCATAATAAAAGCAATATACAACAAACCAACAGCCAACATCAAACTAAATGGAATGAAACTTCAAGGCAATTCCTCTAAAATCAGGAACAAGACAAGGTTGTCCCCTCTCTCCATACCACTTCAATATTGCACTTGAAGTTCTAGCTAGAGCAATAAGACAACAAAAGGAGATCAAGGGGATACAAATTGGAAAGGAAGAGGTAAAACTCTCACTATTTGCAGATTATATGATAGCTTACATAAGTAACCCAAAGAACTCTACCAGGGAACTCTTACAGATAATTAACACCTTCAGCTAAGTGGCAGGATACAAGATCAACTCAAGAAAATTACTAGCCCTACTATATACAGATGATAAGAGGGCTGAGAAAGTAATCAGAAAAACATCACCTCACCATTTACAGTTGCCACACACACATAAAATACCTTGTGGTGATGCTAACTAAATAAGTGAAAGACCTGTATCCCAAGAACACTGAGTCTTTAAAGAAAGAATTTAAAGAAGACACCAGAAAATGGAAAGATCTCCCATGCTCTTGGATAGGTAGGATCAATGTAGTAAAAATGTCAAACCTGCCAAAAGCAAACTACAGATTCAATGCAATCCCCATCAAAATTCCAGCATAATTCTTCACATACCTTAAAAGAACAGTTCTCAACTTTATATGGAAAAACAGGATAGCCAAGACAACCCTGCTCAACAAAGCAACATCTGGAGGCATCACCTTTCCTGACTTCAAGCTCTATTATAGAGCTATAGTCCTGAAAACAGCTTGGTATTGGCACAAAAATAGACACGTGGACCAATGGAATCAAAATGAACACTCTAACATTAATCCACAAACCTATGTACAGCTGATTTTTGACAAAGAAGCTAAAATTATACAATGGAAAAAGATAGCACCTTCAACAAATGGTGATGGAATAACTGGATATTGGCATGTAGAAGACTACAGATAGATCCATTTCTATCACCATGCACAAAACTTAAGTCCAAATGGATCAAAGACCATCCAGCCATACTGAACCTGTTAGAAGACAGAGTGGGAGGTACCATTGAATGAATTGGTACAGGAGACCCGTTCCTGAACATAACACCAGTAGCACAAACCCTGAGATAGAAAATTAATAAATGGGACCTCCTGAAACTGAGTAGCTTCTGTAAGGCAAAGGACACTATCAGCCAGACAAAAAGGCAACCCACAGATTGGAAAAAGATATTCACTAATCTGACAGAGGGCTGATCTCCAAAATTTGAAAAGAGCTCAAGAAGCTACTCTCCAAAACACCAAAGGACCCAATTAAAAAGTAGGGGACTGAACTAAATAGAGAATTATCAATAGAGGAGTCTAAAATGACTGAGAGACACTTAAGAAGTGTTCAACATCCTTAGCCATTAGGGAAGTACAAATCAAAACAACCCTGAGACATCATCTTACTCCTGTCAGAATGGCTAAAATCAAAAACACCAATGACAGTTGATGTTGGAGAGGATGTGGAGAAAGGGGAACACTCATCCATTGCTGATGGGAGTGCAAACTTGCACAGACACTTTGTAAATCAGTATGAAGATTACTCAGGAAAATGAGAATCAGTCTACCACAAGACCCAGCAATTTTACTCTTAGGCATATACCCAAAAGATGCCCATTCATACAAGGATGTCTGTTCCGCTATGTTCATAGCAGCATTATATGTAATAGCTAGATTTTGGAAGCAACCTAGATGCCCTACAACTGAAGAGTAGATAGATAAAATGTGGTACATTTACACAATGGAGTACTACTCAGCAGAAAAAAAAAACAATGGAATCTTGAAATTTGCAGGCAAATAGATGGCACTATAAAAAAACCATTCTGAGTGAGGTAACCCAGTCACAAAAAGATAAACATTGTATGTACTCACTCATATATGGATTTTAGACATGGATCAGGGGAGTGTCAGCCTACAATCCCAGGGCAAGTGAGTCTGGGAAACAGGGAGGTTCCCAAGAGATATGCATAATACTCCAGAGAAGTGGAAAAAGGCAAGATCTCCTGAGCAGACAGGGAAGGGGAGAGGGAACCAAGAAAAAGAGGGGGGATAAGAGGAGGGTCGAAGACATGGGGGAGCAGGAAGGTTAAATCGGGGTAAGAATAGAGGAGACCAGGATGAGAGATACCATAATATTTGGGGTCATTATAGCTTTGAAGAGAGAGCTGACACTCGTGAGATTTCCAGAGATCTACAAGGATAACATGTAGAGGTGAAGCCTTCTCGCCAGCCTGGTTCCAGAGCTGCATCAGTCCCAATTGAACATACAGGAGACTATATTAATGATGAAGCTGTCGGCCGTTTGTTTGGTTTCTTACTGGCTATCTCTGACTTAAGTATTTACTCCATAATTATTAATCTAAGTATTTCTCTTACCGGAGAAAGGGTCTAGACTTCTTACCCTATGGTGGCTACATCATGGCCCCCTGTGTTTCTCCTTCCAGGAATTTGCCTCAACTCCTAGTCCCACCTATCTTGCTTCCCGTTTGGTCAACAGTGCTTTATTCAACAACCAATAAGAGACAGATTTACAGAATGGCATCTCCCATCATCTCCTCTTTTCTGTCTAATTAAAAAAAAAGGTTTTAACTTTAACATAGTCAAATTATATATAACAGAACAGTTATCCTGTAAGAACATAGTTAGAATATTTTGTTCATTAACATTTAGCAAGATTTAAAGAGAATATCACCTATCCTATCTTTGTGAGTCTAAAGTTCTATATGTAGCTTATCTTTTATAATAACTAAGGAAAACTATAATTATAACTATCTGTCTTCAACTCCATCAAAGATCACAGAAGGATAATATATAAACACTAGAATTGACAACGACATCTTGCTACATGGGCAGTCACCTGAAGTTCCTTTATAAAGTTGGGGCATCTATCTTCAGCCCATAGGCCACAGAAGTCTGGAAGACTTCTCAGCAAAGCAGGATATTTCAAAGTGTCCATCTGCATTGGCAGTCTGTCATTCATTTTTCTGTGTCCTGCAGAAAGTCTCGTAGACTCTTCCATGAAGCAGGAATCCTGAAGGACTATTTGAATTCAGCAGCCACTTTCCTGTGGTTCCTGCATGTCCAGTTTATACAGCAACAGTCAAGCAATCCAGTTAAGAGCAGTTTCTTGCCCAAATGGCTAATCTTGCCTGTTGAAAGCAAACTCCGTAACGAGTTTTTTCAATGCCCATCTTCCTCTCAGATGTAATTGATGTGCCAGGAG